CCCCAAAACCCCAAAACCCCAAAACCCCAAAACCCCAAAACCCCAGCTCTAGTGCAAAATATTGAAAATGGAAGGCCAAGCTGACCTATTCGACCAATTAATGGACAAGTCATTTGACTTTAAGGAACAAGGGGCTACTATAACCAAGGAGGAATACGAGCTCTTAACTGAACTGATACAGGACGAAGAAAGATTAGAAGTGTATGGGTTTAGAGCAATGCAGAAGATGAAAGAGCTGATGAATGAGAATGTGGAGAAAACTTATAGGCAAAGAGGAGAGCCCAGTGTTTTAGTGGAGTGTAGTGGGGATCTGGAGTTTAGGCCGATAAAAGTGTATGAAGATGGGAGGAGGTACTTTGGACAGTGGAATAAAGTTACCACCCTCAGAGAAGGAACTGGCATCTCTACCAATCTCAACGACCACCAATTCGTCATCGGCCAATTCTCTTCCGACAAATGTACTGGAAAAGGTCTCTACATCTTCTCAAATGGCTCTTACTACGAAGGAGACCTAAAAGACCTCTACGCGCACGGCTACGGTAAAATAGTGTCGAAATAAAGGATTTGAGTACGAAGGCCAGTGGGAGAATGACCTGTGGCACGGCCTTGGAACGGAAGTTGAGTGCAATGGGGATGTTTATAGAGGGGAATTTGTGAGACATGAGAGAGAAGGAGAGGGAGTGCTGGTTGATAAGAGTGGGGTGAGGTATGAAGGAGAGTTTAGAAGTGGTAAGAAGCATGGGTATGGAGTTCAGGTGGATTGAGAGAAGACAGAGTTTTATGCGAATTTTGAGTATGATTTGGTAGAAGGGCTTTGTTGGATAGTTAAAATGGATGGAGCGATGTTCAGAGGGAAATGGGATGTAGAAGATGAAATGACTGGGATTTATACAGATACTAAAGGAAGAGAGTTGAAAGTTCCTTCTGAGATCAGTTCAGGCACTGTTCACGCCATATTCAATCTTCATTAATCTTTTTCAAATTAATTTCTCCTTTTTGGGGTTTTGGGGTTTTGGGGTTTTGGGGTTTTGGGG